ATGGAAGTCTAATAATATCATAGTGTCAAACCGTTGGAATTATTGTTCAATTTGCCCAACGGAAAGTTAAATGATAATTTTGAACAACTTAATGTTTAACATAATTAGCATATAGGTTGTGTTTTATCCAACGATAAAGCATGACTTATATGTGTTTTCAATAAGATTATTTGTATCTTACAATTTAACTACTTCACTTAACCAAAGTTTAGTTAGTAGTTAAATTATGAGATAATTACCAATAATTTTTTTTTGTGTTCTTATTAGTTAATTTGTTTATTTTTGTCCTTTGTACCCATTAATTCCTTTTTTTTGTTTCTTATTGTTAAAGAGCCTATTTACACTGATACTGAAATTTCAGCCCCCTTGGTTGGTCATACTGGATTACTTTCAAACATTGACCCACTTAATGGGACGAACTATTCCTCATGGATTGAGCAAGTCAAAATAGCACTTGGAGTGATGGAATTAGACTTTGCATTAAGGGTTGATCGCCCCTCCCCCTTAAATGATAAATCCAGAACTGATGAAAAACGTGTTTTTGATCAGTGGGAGCGATCAAACCGCATGTCTCTAATGATCATTAAAAACTCCATATCATCTGCTATCCGTGGTGCAATTCCTGATCCTGAAACAGCCACCGGATATCTTGAGTCGGTTGAGGAGCAATTCAAGGGTACCTCTAATGCCCATGCTAGTACTCTTATCCTTAAAATGCTCACAACTAAATATGAAGGTTCTGGTGGTGTCCGAGAACACATAATGGTAATGAATGACATGGCCAACAAACTTAAAAGTATGGAAATGGAAATTTCTGAAGGTTTTTTGGTTCACTTTATTATGACCTCCCTTCCATCTCAATTTAGGCCATTCATAATTAACTATAATACCCAAAGGGAGAAATGGAAAATGAGTGAACTAATAGCCATGTGTGTTCAAGAAGAGGAACGTTTGAAAATAGAAAAACCCGACGTTGCTCATCTCACCACCACTGACTCAAACAAGAGGAAGTTCAATAATGGTGGAAAGGGTTCCAACAAGGGGAATAAATCCAATTCCGGTCCCAACAAATCTCAGAAAACTGGTCCTAGTACAAGTGGAACTAAAAAAGAGGCTAAGTGCAAATTCTGCAAGAAACTTGGCCACACCCAGCATAACTTCCCGAAATTTAAGGAGTGGTTAGCAAAGAAATATACGCTTATTAATTACATGATTTGTGAATCTTTTTCAATTAGTGTACCTTCTAATACTTGGTGGATTGACACGGGATCAATGGTTCATGTTACAAATTCATTGCAGGGATTCCATACAAAGAAAATATTGAAAAGCAACCAACGGACCATTAAAGTCGGGGACGGAAATGAAAAGAAGGTTGAAGCTATAGGTATTATGGTGTTATTATTAGATGGAGGACATGAAATGGTCCTTAAAAACACTTTATATGTACCTACTATTACTCGAAACTTAATATTTGTATCTAAATGTAAATATGATGGATATGGCTTTAACTTTGATGATGATGATGTAATAATATCTCGTTTTAAATCTGTGGTTGGTTTCGGTAGATTAGAGGGAGACCTCTATAAATTAAGACTTGATAATGAATTTTTGGAATCCTTATTGTCTATGAATGTAAACTTTTGTGAATGTAGTAACAATAATAAGAGAAAAAGAGATAATGAAAAATCATCCCGATTGTGGCACAAACGTCTAGGTCACATATCTAAAGAAAGGATGACACGCCTCATAAAAGATGGAATCATTGAAAATCTTGACTTTTTAGATTTTGACCCGTGTGTAAATTGCATGAAAGGTAAAATGATCAATAAAAATAGGAAAGGCGCAAACCGTAGTTCAAGCTTGCTTGAAATAATTCACACGGACATTTGTGGACCTTTCCCTTCCGGTTTGGGAGGATATAAATCTTTTATTACTTTCATCGACGATCATTCACGTTATACCTACTTGTACTTAATTAATGAAAAATCCGAATCACTTGAAATGTTTAAAACCTTTAAAGCTGAGGTTGAAAATCAACTTAATTGTAAAATAAAAGTGGTAAGATCGGATAGGGGTGGAGAGTATTATGGCCGACACACAGATGTTGGTCAAAGCCCCGGACCATGCCGATTTTTGTAAATCTCATGGCATAGTAAATCAATTCATCATGCCAGGTACCCCTCAACAAAATGGAGTTGCAGAAAGACGCAATCGCACCCTTATGGATATGGTACGTAGCATGATTGCAAACTCAAGTCTTCCGGAATTCCTATGGACTGAGGCGTTAAAAACAGCCGTACACATCTTAAACCGTGTTCCATCAAAATCCGTCCCTAAAACACCTTATGAAATATGGACGGGTAGGAAACCCAAACTAAATTATCTAAAGGTTTGGGGTTGTCCGGCTGAAGCTAAGGTCTATAACCCACAAATTAAGAAATTAGACTCAAAGACAATATCTTGTTATTTTGTGGGTTCCCTGAGAGGTCTAAGGGTTACCGGTTTTATGCCCCTACACATACCGCTAGAATAGTGGAGACCCGATACGCCGAGTTTCTAGAGAATGGATACAATAGTGGGAGCAATGGTTCAAAGATCCTTAAACTTAATAAGGAATCAACACCAAATCAAACACCTAATATCTTGGTGCCGATACCCATAACTGTTCAAGAATCAACACCAACAACAACACCAACGCCTCAACATGAGGATGTTGTTGTTCCAACAGAACAAGAACCATTACATCACGAAATCCCACATAATGATGAGATCGTTGAAGAAACTCAACAACCATTGAGGAGGTCACGAAGAGAAAGACGACCCGTGACTTATGACGACTTTGCCACCTATTTGAATGAGGTTGACTATGACTTAGGTCAAATTGAAGAACCAACCTCATATAATGAGGCCATGAATAGTGATTGTTCACATAAATGGATTGAAGCCATGAATGACGAGTTGAGCTCCATGCGTACAAATGACGTTTGGGAACTTGCAGAATTACCTAAGGGCGCTAAAGTTGTGGGTTGCAAGTGGGTTTTTAAAACAAAATTAGACCCAAATGGAAACGTCGAACGCTTTAAGGCTCGATTAGTGGCTAAAGGCTTTACTCAAAAGGAAGGCATTGATTATACAGAAACCTTCTCGCCTGTATCAAGAAAAGATTCATTAAGAATTGTCCTGGCACTTACAGCTCACCTTAATTTAGAGCTACATCGAATGGATGTCAAGGCTGCCTTCCTAAACGGTGATTTGTACGAAGATGTATATATGGTGCAACCCGAAGGTTTTAAGGACAAGGGTAAAGAACATCTCGTATGTAAATTAAAGAAGTCAATTTATGGGTTGAAGCAGGCTTCCCGTCAATGGTACTTAAAATTTGATGAAGTCATGAAACGCTTCAGTTTTATTAAAAACCCAGTGGATCAGTGTATATACTTTAAGAACAGTTGGAGAAATTTCACAATCCTGGTTTTATATGTTGACGACATAATCATTGCTAGTAGTAGAAAAGACATGTTATTTGAGACCAAACGCTTCCTATCAAGTAATTTTAACATGAAAGATCTCGGTGAAGCTTCTTATGTGATTGGTATAGAAATTCATCGAGACAGAGGAAGTGGGACTTTGGGATTGTCTCAAAAGGCCTACATAAATAGGATTCTTAAAAAAATACAACATGCAAAATTGTGCACCTACTGTTGCCCCTGTTGTAAAAGGCGACAAATTTGGCTCTTATCAATGCCCCAACACGGAAGTTGAACGTGAACAAATGAAACTTATACCATATGCTTCGGTTGTTGGGAGCTTAATGTATGCTCAAGTCTGTACCCGACCCGAAATTGCTTACATCACTGGTATGCTTGGTCGCTATCAATCAAACCCCGGATTAGACCATTGGAAAGCAGCCAAGAAGGTGTTGCGTTACTTACAAGGAACTAAGGAATACATGCTCACTTATACAATATCAAATCTTCTGGAGGTCGTGGGATATTCAGATTCTGACTTTGCTAAATGCAAAGATGATAAAAAATCAACTGGATGGTACATATTCTTGCTCTCAGGTGGACCTATATCTTGGAGGAGTCGCAAGCAAGAGCTCACTGCCACTTCAACTATGATGGCTGAATATGAAGCATGTTATCATGCCATATGTCATGCTATGTTGTTGTGAAACCTTATTGGTGGGCTCAAAATTGTTGACACCATTGCAAGACCATTGAAGCTTTATTGTGACAATAGTGTCGCTGTTAGTTTCTCTAACAACAATAGTTCAACCGGTGCTGGGTTGTATCGCGATACTAAATACTTATTTGTTCGAGAAAGAGTGGAAGAAAATTGCATAACCGTGGAGTATATTAATACGAGTGACATGTTGGCGGATTCACTTACTAAAGGACTACCGCCTAAGACTTTTGTTGAGCATGTAGCGAGAATGGGCCTAAGAGGAAATCTCGCTTAATGTCACATAATACTATGCATTTACTACCTGTAAGCGCTTACAATTCTATCTTTCACATGATTTATTTATTTTTGCTCTACAAATTTAAGTTAACGTTAATTTTATGGAGCAGATATGATAACCATAAAATCTTAAGTTGTATTTGTGAAAGCATTGAGGTATAATCGATGGGGATCTCATGTCTTTTAAGGTATGTATGATTGTATCTTTTTGCCTCAATGTTTTTGCCAAACACATATCCTAAATGGATTGATAAATGGCCAACTTATTTGATATAGATAGTTATACGGTCAAGTGGGAGAATGTAAGAATTATCTGGCCTAAACTATTTATATCATTATTGTATCAGTTTTATTAATCCGTAAATAACTAATCTAATTGTTTATCTTATTGATGTTCCCACTTTTACAAAGAGGTCCACCAATCTTTATGATGGGCGAAGTTGGTCCGTGTGCATAAATATATATGTTGGTTATTAAAATTAAAAATAATTTACTTAACAGTGTTAATCATAATATATCGGAAAATATTTCAGTAATCAATCTATCCACCAATAACAATGAAGTATGGATATACTCACAAGTGCCTTGAAGGTGCGTAAGGACACATGACGAATTTTGCGCATCTCCCTGAGCTCAGGAGGGATGACAGTCTGAAGCATACATACCATTGACACCCACTGGTTTCTATTTACCGAATCTCCAACGAAAACTACCCTTTTCCCCCTCAGCCTCTCAAGAACTTCTTTGGCATCAAACCTAGACATTATACAAAAATAAATACTAATTTTACAGTGCGACGTGAAACTACAGTTATATGCTTGGCTTGTATTTTACTTTAGTTCTACTAACTTCAAACCTCAAATATAAACCTTATTTTATGATATTGTCTAATAATCTAATAAATATAGTAAAATGTATACACCAATAAGCAAATGATAAGAAAATCACCGTTTCCAACATATTAGTTCTTTTGCAAGAACTTTATCATGCAATGATTAATATTTAGTGTGATGTTGAAGCTTTAAGCCACATTGTTGATAATTCATTTTTAATGTAAAACAAAAATCAAACTTAGATTAACTTTCTAGAAAAGTTAATAATACTTATAAATTATAGTAATATTGGAGAGAGAGAGACCTTGGAAGGTTACAAGCATGAGGTTGCCATCTCCATTGTTGATACTTGGAATCCATTCTACCATGTTGTTGACACGCAAAGTCACCAGTAATGTATGGACATTGGAGTTCTTCGTATAGAGGGTATGAATCGTTGTCATGGACCCATTTTCCGGAGAAAAAATCACAGCCATCCAGTGAATCATAGACATTACGACTTTGAACTACTGTGAGAGTCGTGCCTTGTTCATCCATGTTGACGTAATAAAATGCTGTTGCAGCTACTGCTCCTACAGCGATGAAGACGATGAGGCTGCTCTGGAACGTGTGTTTAACATCGCATATTACTATCAGTTGCATCTCTCACTCTATCTCAAGAAGAAGAATGAAGATCGATCGAAGACAAACTAACAGATTTATGCATCACTACCTGTTGCTTCTTACCAACGACCAACGTCACCACCACCGCCGCGGGAACCGGAAACATATTGCCATTTACTATATATTTGACTAAACGTAAGCGTCACGTAGATGTACACATGGCATTTCGTGCCAGCAATATTTTTAGATGGAATGAACTGTTGAAACTTCGAACTAGAAATTAGTGTGAGACCACATGCGGAAGTCTATCTCATCCACTCATGCGAATTGGAAAGGAGAATATTTTCCGTAAACTAACCGGTGTATCTAGGATGCAGTTATTATATAAACTCTTATTAGTTATCGTATAGGAGTTTTAAATGTTCAGAAGTAGTAGAATTTATGTGTGGTTCTCGTGAAGCAGAGTATATATATATATATATATATATATATATATATATATATATATATATATATATATATATATATATATATACACCAGAAGACTTTAAAAAAAAGTTTTTTTTTTTTTTTGCAATGTTTTTCTTTTCTTCTTTCTGCATCGATTGTGATTGTGTTGAATGAATGAACAATTCTGTATGAGGGACATAATTGGAAACTTCATTTATTTTAGTCTTGTTGATATTCACCCGTAGCATTTAGAGTTTAGGATTTTAGTTACTTGATCGGTATAAATAGGAATAAACATGCGGAATGTTTTTCATTCAGTTTCTCATTTGATCAAACTTAGCCTGCAAATTTTCTTTTACCTTCTTCTGCCCCTCTTCTTTTCCCATGTTACTTGAATTCCTTCTTTTACCTTCTTCTACCCCTCTTCTTTTCCCATGTTACTTGAATTCTTTGTGCTCAAAGGCACAAGCAGGACCTGTAAATTTACATTTTGTATCACAGCTTATTAGGTTTCAATAACAAGTAGTACAACCCGCTATAGAAGGTCCCAAAGATGCATTACCCTACTGTGGTAACTATGCCGCCTAGGCCATAAAGATGAAGGTCTTTATGCAGGCTCAATAAGTATAGGATGTCGTGAACCCAAGAATCCCCAAAACCCAATCGGTGTGAACAAAGACAAGATGGATCTTGCCGACATCTATCAAGAAATCCTGGAAGTCTTATTGTTGTTAATTGCGAAGAAGCAAACAGAAAACCAAGCATGAAAAAACGTTGAAAATTATGTACTTGGGATGCAAACGGTTAGTGATTTGTTATCATCAATGTTATTCAAGTGTAATGAGATTAATTTGTTGACCAAAAGTGATCTTGATAAATATTAAACAAGTAAGGAAGGTGTGGAGTACACACTTGTTTAAGTTTGATCAAGTTTCAAAGTACACTGTCATTTAGGGGCGAAGCCCCTGAACGAAGGAGGGCCCGAGGGGAGCACCCCTCGGAACGGGGTCCAAGGGGCGGCAGCCCCTGGCTAGGGTCAACCCTTATCCAAATACCAAATATCCATTTTTTATGTCAGTTTTAATAGTTTTAGTGATCATTAGTTTGACCCTTATCCAAATACCCGTTTTTATGTCAGTTTTTATAGTTTTATGACAGTTTGAAACTGTTATATGACAATTTTTAGACAGAGATCATAAATTGGTTTTTTGTCTCATTTTCTGGTACATAAGAAATCATTTCATAAAAACACTCTCTGTTCTTGTCTCTCTGAGTCTTATCCGATTAAGGGTTGGGAGTACCACCAAAATACTTTAATCTGAAAGTGTACACACAATTCTCAGAATTTCCAAGCCTCTTATTATCCTGAATTTCTAACAAAGATTAAAGTATTTCAATGATCATGGCAAGTGGTGATTCTTTGAAGGACATGACAATTAAGTTTGACAAATTGGTGAAGTTTGATGGCCAAGACTTTCGTGGATGGAAGAAAAAGATGAAGTTTCTCCTTACCACTCTGAAAATGGTGTATGTTCTGAGTACACCAATGACATTCTTACCAGAATCTGTTTAAGATGAACCTTTGGAGGCAACAAGGAGAAGATCAAAATGGGAAAATGATGACTTCATCTATCATGGTCACATTCTCAGTGGTATATCTGAATTTGTTTTTGATATCTATCAAAATGTCGAATCTGCAAAAGAACTATTGGATTCCCTTGAATCCAAATACATGGCCGAAGATGCTTCAAGTAAGAAGTTTCTGGTTAATAACTTCATGGGTTACAAGATGGTTGATTGCAGGCCTGTTATAGAGCAATACCATGAAATATTAAGGATCCTGAGACAATTTTCTCAACACGATCTGAAAATGGATGAAGCCATTTATGTGGCTGTCATCATGGACAAACCGTCACCTTCCTGGAAAGAGTTCAAACACTCTTTGAAACATAAAAATGAAGAATTAACCTTAGTTCAACTTGGAAACCATTTACGGATTGAAGAGCCTCTAAGGACTCAAGAACTTGACAACAATCCTAAAGGAAAGAACCAAGTTGGTGTTGGGTTATGAGCATTCTAACACTCCTAAGGTGTACATGCAACCCTAAATACCTTGGATCTATTTTTTCTCTATTATACATGTAAACTTGAACTTTCAAAGGTATTACCGTAACTAGCATACAAAAATTGATACTTGGGTATTAAAACAAGTTAGATAACATACCTTTTCCTGTAGCTTGTTGGAAACCTTGAAGCTTTAGCCTTTAAGAGCTCAACACCAATAGTGTGAATTCCTCAAATGGAATCACAACACACCTAGGACAAAGGATAACTTGAGAGAGAATGGCTTGCTCTAGAAATCAGCTTTATGACTCTTCCAAAGATCACTAGTGTCAATTTCACCAACCAAGGGGCTTCTTATATAGTGTGGCACAACTAGGGTTATACCATGCAGACCCTAATGTGCATGACTTTCCACATTGCTTAGGCTCCATGGGTTTTAACCTTCATGGAGTATCCATGGGTCACCACATGGGTTTAGCCCAACATAAAAAACTATGGATCATAAGCCCACTTTATAAGAATGAATGATTTACACAATCAATCCCCATATATTTAATTAGTCTCTTTTTATCACAAATTAATTCCAAATTAACTAATTAAATAATATGATTTAATATATTAGAACTTATAATATATTAAATAACCTCTTCTCAAAAGTCCATCCTATCAAATTGTCCTGGTGATATGCAACCCAAAAGGACAATGCTACTATCGGGTCAAGTACATACCAATTATAGTTATGGGCTTAGACACCTAATCCAACAGTCTCCCACTTTGATAAGTCTAATAAATATAACTGCCAATGCAACTTCAAAATCCGATTAGCAATCGTAGCTCTCAAAAGTCGCTTTCCAACTCTGATCTAGTTAATGATTCGTCCTTCACATAAGGGATCATATAATCCACTGTTTTTCTAGATATCGTGTGGACAAAGACATGGAATAAAGTCATACTCATTGTCCAACAGTTTGTTTCCCAGTTTCTGATTTGTCTGACATAGAACTTAATTTAACACATTAATTGAGTCCTGACCGGGCCCGACACATAAGTCAAAACAAAATCATCTAGGGGCCCAAGATATCACTTTTAATCCTCTTAGGATAAAAGGAACAAATAAACTTCCACTTATATGATTGTACTAATTACTTGTTAAATTATACATAACAACACGTTTTATAGCATCAAGTTACTGATGCGTTTTCATACTATCAATGCACAACCAACTCGTAATCAACAACTCATATATCTTAGTTTGAAGATTATACGATATTATCGTCTCACAATCACTCGCGATAAATTCCATAAAGTGATTCATGCGAGCATGGGTTTAATCCAATACTTAAATCTTATTTCAGGAGCACTCATGAACGTTGTAGCAAACTTTTGCTATGTCTAAGCACCTTAGACAATCTACAAGTCAATTCATGACAGTCTAATTATTGGGTTTTATGTACTCTAACATCCCTATGGTGCACACACAACCCCTAATGCTTTGGATCTAAGTTTTCTCTAGTTATACATGAAACAAAAATTATCCAAATCATGAAACCTATAACTAGCATACAACTTGATACTTGAAACATAAAAAACTAGTTAGAAGAATACCTCTTATTGTAGCATGTAGAATTTTGCCTTTCAAGAGCTTAACACCTCAAGTGTGATGCCTCAAATGGTTCACAAAACACCAAGAGCACGAGGAGGACAAATGAGAGAGAGAGGTTATGAATCACCAAAAACGGCGAGCTTCTTATTGGAATCGACACATTCCAATTTTTGCGTTTTAGGGTTCTATAGTGTGAAAGGAAAAGATCGACAAACTGCAATCTGCACTGCTCCTTATTACCTGTTAGATATGTGAATCAATGACCTTTCACTTGTTAACCCGTTAACGGACCCTTTCCTGGGCCTTAATCCATAATCCATATGATAGGACCTTTGTACTAAATCTTCATGGACTCACAAAGATTTAGTCCAAAAATCAACAGGATCATATCCCCAAACTATAAGTATCACTGATTTACTTAATCAATCTCCGTTAATTTAATTAGTCTCTTTTGATCACTGAATTAGTTCCAAATTAATTCTTGATCAATACTAATTAAATAAGATGATTTCTCAACTAATATATAATACTTATAATATATTTATAAATCACAAATAACCTCTTTCTCCATATTCCTTCCTATCAAATTGGTTCGGTGAATGCAACCCAAAATGGATCATGCTACTCTCGGGTCAAGTACATACCAATTATAGTTATGGGCTTAGACACCTAATCCAACACTATTTAATAACCTACTTTCAAAGTATGATCGACTGTGGATAGTTTGAATAATCATATTATTTTTGAAAACATGAAAAAAATGAAACATAAAATAAACAATTGACAGAAGACAGTAAACTTTACTTATAAATAAAACCCTTATTATTTAATCATCAAATGTCAATTACATTTATTTATTAAAAATTTCTAATTGTCTATCTAATCACTAAAACTAATATCGTCGCTTAGGCCAATGCTCTTA